TCCTGCAAGCCCCAATCCCCCAAAAGGAAAAGGAAAGAAGCAATGACACTGCAGGCCGGAGGAAAATGACCCGAATTGCCCACGAATTGTGGGACCAGGGGAGACCAAATAGCGCGAGCCTCCCCCCACTACTGTCCCGCCAACAGGGCGAACCGTGAAAGGGCCGACGACCCCTACGAGAGCCCAACTGACGCTCAGAGTGATCACCAAGTCAATGACTTCGTAGGAGGGCCAGTCCCGAATCTGACATTACTAGCTTACGATGACCGAAGGAACCTCGAGACCTGGCGTGAACCTGGGCAGGACCTCCACGCCCCCCCCCTCCCCCCCCACCCCCCGGAGAACCTGAAAGTCCAACATAGGCCATCAACTCGACGAAGCCGCCTGCAGAAAATGCACCACCGCAGACTCTGCAAATAGCAATGGACAAAAAGGAGGATGAAAATGTAAGAGCCAGGGCCCAAGACGATTCCAAAAATTGGACGAGCACCACCTGTCAGCATGTGAAACAAGAAGTGAAGAACAGACACTGCCTCCCTCAGAAATGGCGCATACAACTTCAACAAGGCCGCCGGCACCCAAGCTGCCGAAGCAAAAACACCGGACATGGGCCCCGGAACCCAGCTCCTCCACACCCACCACGAGCCAGTCCGAAGACAGCTCCAGCAGTGAAAAGAAGCGCAAGACCGAAGCCAAGTGCCCACGGTCGCACAAATCCTCTGCCACCAGGGATGCCGAAAGGGAGGGAACCTGCACGTGAAGCCACACCTGGCCGACATCATAAGGAAGAACGAGGGCGAACAAGCACGCACTGAGGTGTTTCAACTCGCCCCCCAGGAAAACTTGAACAACCGTAGTCAACTCTCGCCATCAAGTGTGCAGTCCGACAGGACGAATGCCAAGCCCCCAACGAAAGAAAAGGCTGTCTGCCAGCCAGGAAGACTCCGGCACCTTGTAATGTACCCAATAAGGAAAAAAGGAGCCAACTCAAAAGAAGGCTCCTACATCGTACTCTCTGTCTAGCAGGCAGTAGGCCGCAAGGGCCTCCCACACCTTCCTCGGTGGGATGCGGGAAGCCAAAAACCTCCAGAAGGAGGGAACCGAAGAACCCAAGGGAACTTGGAACTGAACCCCGGGAGAAGTTAAACTCATAACAAAATCATTCAGGGAGGGAATAGCAACCCCCCCCCCCTCCTGTAACAACAAGCCCTGCACCGAGGATACCAAACCCCAAGCAGGGATAAGTGGGCTCCAGGCCCCCATGTCAACTCCTCTCCAGCCCCAGAATTCTCCACTTCAGGACCTGGGATTGAGCCGTCCTCCAAACCCTCTGCCTCTGGAGAAAAAGCAGTCCTCCGGAAAAGAAGGAATGAAGGGGGGCCCGCTGGCGTGGCCCATAAGCTCCGGCAGGAGGACCAGACTAATGCCTTCGCCGCCGATCCGGAAGGAACAATCCCCGAAGCCGCCCAAGTTTCACTACCAGTAAATTCAGCGGGGCAGCTGGGGGGGCATCAGGAAGGCAACCAACCTCGCACGTTGCTGCAACATAAACCTCGCATGTAACGCTAAAGCTGTCTGCACCCGAATATCAGTCTCAGTGGAATGAGTGAATGGAGTACAAGCAAAGAACACCATTCGGAGGACTCCAGGTCATAGGTGTGACTGACCCAACAGGCAGCAGAGCAAAGGTAGATGATGAGTGTCACCCTGAGACAAAGGAACAAAGCAACCTTCAAACTCGCACAAGGCAAGGTGGGACTCAAGAGGTCTCCTACATTGGACCACTGAGCCTCAATGGGGGTTTCCAGTGCCCTTAGACTGACTGCTCAGGGAAGCTCAGGCGAAGTACTGCTAACCGGTTATCCCAGAGCTACAAAGCAACAAACTAATAGCTGAACCCCTGTGAAGTGTGCAAGCACGGGGACCTAGTGGAGGGCCACCAAAATCATACAAGTGGTCCTACCGCCACACCAGGCAGACCACCGCCAGGCAAATCAAAACAAAAAAGAAAAACCCAGCAAAAGCACAACGTGAACAGGTGAACAGAACCAGTCGCTATGCGTATATCAGACAGCTGCACAGCACCTCGCGCTCCAGCCAGAGATGAAACTACGTCCTACCCAAGGTCAAACAGGAGTAAGAACCTCCCCAGCTGAATCCCCAAGGGCGGGCCATCACCAAGCAGCAACAGAACCACACACAGGTAGCTGCTCCTGAATGGCTCATGGAAGATAACCCTGAGGCCGCAAAGGCAGTACTTACGGGGCACCTACCGAAGGTAGTCCTAGGTGCATGCAGTCCCAGTACTCTATGTTACATCCAGCTCACATGCCACCAATATAAAGCAATAACACCGCACTGCAGCACTGTACAAAGAGTGGAGCCAGAGCGATCGACCGTCACCAACACAACAGCCTCTTGAACTGAGGAGTTGCTGGCAAGGAGGTCTGGGACCACCTCCCTCCCCCTCCCGGGAAGGGGGGAAAGGTTGCGGAGACAGATGTGCAGCAGTTGTGGTGATGTCATGTATGTTTTCCTTGTTTTTGATTGGAGAGTTCTGTTTGCTTGTTCGGCTTTCAGTTTGCAATTTTTGACCAGCAGAAGTTTGTTTTGAAATTCCTACCTTTCTGGGTGCCTGACCTGGTAGATGGCAGACAGAGACTGCTTCCAATTACACTGGGGTGTCTTTAGGCCATATTTTTTTTTTTTTTTTTTTTTTTTTTTTTTTTTTTTTTTTTTTTTGAGATATATACAAGAGTTGTTACATTCTTGTACAGCCACTAGTACGCGTAGCGTTTCGGGCAAGTCCTTAATCCTATGGTCCCTGGAATACGATCCCACGCCGCGAAGAATAGTTTTTTCATCCAAGTACACATTTTACTGTTGCGTTAAACAGAGGCTACAGTTAAGGAATTGCGCCCAGTAAATCCTCCCCGGCAAGGATACGAACCCATGACATAGCGCTCGCGGAACGCCAGGCGAGTGTCTTACCACTACACCACGGAGACTGCTTGGTCACCTACACCATTGCTCCTTGGTCACCTACACCATTGCTCCTTGTGCCTCTCTTGAGGGGGGCCAAGTTCTGGCTCTGGTCCCCGGTAGGCTTAGAACTCCTTCGATTGACTGTTGCCACGGTCTAATATATACACATCAGCCCGGTATAGCTACAGGGAGCTGAAGGGGCTCACCACAGAAAATATGTAGAGAAGAAGATGAGGCTCTTAGGGTACTTGAGAATAGTTATCACAAGTTATTAAATAAATAAATAAATACTAAACAAAGTATATGGAACCTCTTAGGTGCAGGACAGAGGTGTGACTGTCCACAGTAGCTTTTCTAAACACACTGTGGGAACATTTGGCCAAATGTGTATTTCCCTGCTGCTTCACTGTTGAACCAGGAGCAGCTTTTCCCACAGACATACAATGTAACATGTAGTCTCCAATACAATCACTGCCCTTTAACAATTAAATAGCCAAAGACAGACTAACACTGAACAAATAAAATGAGTTATTGTTAGGAGTAAAAAAAAATTTAAAGTCAAATGTATGACTGATAATTTTGAATCCAATCCTTAAACCAGTAAATGTTGAAACCGATAAGTAGCGAGATTGATTAAGTCATATATGAATATGAATAGAAGTCATACTGTATATGAATATGTATAGAAGTCATACTGTATATGAATATGAATAGAAAAGTATACACTCAACTGCAGCAGTAGAAAATGACTGCACAATTGTTGATAGACAGTGAAAGAGTAGTGTGTTCCTGTACAGTAGGGAAACATGTGTAAAGATGTACACAAATTTAAAAAAAAAAAAGCCCATATGCACATGTTGAAAATAAATTTCCAAGGAACAATGCTTTCAAAATTTCAGTTTCCTTCTCTCTTCCTTACCCAACTACTTGGGCTGGATGGTAGAGCAACTGTCTCGCTTCATGCAGGTCGGCTTTCAATCCCCCGACCGTCCAAGTGGTTGGACACCATTCCTTCCTTCCTTTCCCCTGTCCCATCCCAAATCCATATCCTGACCCTTTCCAAGTGCTATATAGTTGTAATAGCTAAGCGCTTTCCCCTGAAAATTCCCTCCCTTCTCTCTTCTTTGCCATGAGTATTTTACATTGTTTAGAAAAGCCGAGAGAAAAATTTAAGGCGCCCACTTTCTATGGTCACTTTAAAGGTTACTTCTATATCTAGCATATAAAGCAACTACAGTACTTTACTATCAACAAGGAAAGAAGCATGAAATTATGTTTTGCAAATACAGTACAGTACAAAATTACTGCTAGGCCTATAAGTGGAAATGGGCAGTGATTTATGCTTGAGGAGTTCAAAATGGGACTCCTAATTCAACTTCTGAATACTGCTGACTAGGTGGCAGTTTCCATGCTACTGATAATAGGGAAGCGAAAAATACAGTGCAAAAAACATAATATTGCATGACTAACAAAAATTAACTTGGCAGGATTGAATTATCAGTGTCTACAACTTTTAACATTAATTGTGTTAAGGCATACCACTTCATAAAAAAAACTATTTAATTCATTTCCGCAACTCTCGTTTGCCTCTTCACAGACGAACACAAGAATTGAGACACTCTTATATAGTGCATGTCTCAACTCTATATTATTTCATTCAAGTTTCACCAAAGCAATATCCCATTGTTCTAAGCTGTAATAAAGAGTACATAATGCTATATGTAATAATGGCACAGTGGATCCCTAGCTCTTTGTACCTTTATTGCCAATGCTTACACAATGGGTCAGAATTTAGCTGCATGATATATACATTAAAGCTTTCATTTCACATAAAAACTTATTACAATAAGACTGAACAAAATTCAATGGGTGATAGCTCCTTCATTAACTATAGTCATGAATTCATTCTATTACAAATATACCAACTTGTATCAACTATACCAAAGCTATACATTTCAGATTTCATGAAATAAAAGATGCATTAGTTCCTTTCAAACTGGCCTTAAGAATATTACCAAAAAGACAGCAGGATGAGGCAGTGGTGGTAGGAGGCTGCTGTAATGAGGATGAGGGAGACTGAGATGTTGTAGCATCAATGGTAGTAGCTGGCATGTCACCTCTACCTTGCTTCTGCTGTTCTTGCTGCTGCTCTTGCGGCTCCTGCTCCTGCTCGGAGTGAGCAGGCTGACGACTTTCTGCCTGATGAGACTGAGGCTCGATTGTCACTGGCTCTGTTGGCCGGGCATGGCCCCCTGTTCAATTATATTAAATTGTATAAACCATCAGAACATGCTCTCACTTTGTGATGATAACATAGTACAGTACTATTAAGTAACTGCTTTATCTCTGGTAACAGATTAAATTTGTAAACGAAGGTACCACTGTGTAATTACCTAAGTGTAGTTACAGGATGAGAGCTACGCTCGTGATATCCCATCTACCCAGCACTCTGTCATATAACGCTTTGAAACTACCGACGGTTTTGGCCTCCACCACCTTCTCACCTAACTTGTTCCAACCGTCTACCATTCTGTTTGCAAATGTGAATTTTCTTATATTCCTCTGGCAGCTTTGTTTCGTTAGTTTAGATCTATGACCTCTTTTTCTTCAAGTTCCGGGTCTCAGGGATTCTTCCCTATCGATTTTATCGATTCCTGTTATTTTGTACGTAGTGATCATATCGCCTCTTTTTCTTCTATCTTCTAGTTTTGGCATATTTAATGCCTCTAACCTCTCCTCGTAGCTCTTGCCCTTCAGTTCTGGGAGCCACTTAGTAGCATGTCTTTGCACCTTTTCCAGTTTGTTGATGTGCTTCTTAAGATATGGGCACCACACAACCGCTGCATATTCGCACTTTGGCCTGACAAAAGTCGGGAACAATTTCTTAAGTATTTTGCCATCCATGTATTTAATAGCAATTCTGAAGTTAGAAAGCATGGCATAGGCTCCTCGCACAACGTTCTTTATGTGGTCCTCAGGAGATAGTTTTCTATCTAGAACCACCCCTAGATCTCTTTCTTTATCAAAATTCTGTAAGGATTTCTCACATAATTTATAGGTTGTGTGGGGTCTATGTTCACCTATTCCACATTCCATATCATGGCATTTATTCACATTAAATTCCATTTGCCAAGTGGTGCTCCATATACTTATTTTGTCCAGGTCTTCTTGAAGGGCATGACAATCATCAAAGTTTCTTATCCTTCCTATTATCTTAACATCATCAGCAAACATGTTCATATAATTCAGTATTCCAACTGGTAGATCATTTATGTAGACAATGAACATCACTGGTGCAAGAACTGAACCATGTGGTACTCCACTTGTGACATTTCTCCAGTCCGATACATTGCCTCTGATTACTGCCCTCATTTTTCTATCAGTCAGAAAATTTTTCATCCATGTTAGAAGCTTACCTGTCACTCCTCCAATATTTTCCAGTTTCCAGAACAACCTCTTATGTGGAACTCTGTCGAAAGCCTTTTTAGGTCCAGATAGATGCAGTCAACCCAACCATTTCTTTCCTGTAAAATCTCTGTGGCTCGATCATAGAAACTGAGTAAATTTAACACAGGATCTTCCAGATCGAAAATCATACTGTCTGTCTGATATTATATTATTTCTCTCCAGGTGTTCTACCCATTTAGTTTTTATTATTTTTCCAATATTTTGACTATTACACTTGTCAATGATACAGGTCTATAATTGAGGGGGGTCTTCCCTGCTTCCACTTTTGTAGATTGGAACTATGTTAGCCTGTTTCCACACATCTGCTATGACTCCTGTATACAAGAATGTCTGAAAAATCAGCCGAAGTGGTATGCTGAGCTCAACTGTATATTCTCTCAGAACCCATGGTGAAACTCCATCTGGGCCAACTGCTTTGTTCTTACTTAGTTCCAGGAACATTTGTTTCACTTCATCTCTAGACACCTCTATGTGCTCTATGTTGTTCTCTGTAATTCTCAATACCACTCTTGTTTTGCTCATCATACTAGCTTAGTGGTTTGCTACGGTGAACACATTTGTACATGGATAAATACAATGTGTGTATATAGTGTAATAACAGCAACAGGAGTATGTTGGGAGGAGCTATTTTGGTGAGGGAGGTGACGTAATCGTAGCGTCGTCTGCTGGCTGCTGTGTGATTTCTCATGCAGTGTATGGTGGCCACTGTAAAGTTTGGACACAATACCGGCTTACTTGCATAGTTCTGGTGAATAAAACATGTAGATAGATATACATAGCATGTGTAAATAGTGTAATAAAAACAATAACAGTATGGTGGGAGGAGCAATGTTGGCGAGTAAGGTGTTGGAGGAGTGAGGGAGACTGGCTGGGTTTGGCAGCTGACACTCCCAGAGTTCTGAATGTGTTGATGGTGAATGTATATAATGTGTGACAGTGTATAGTGTGTACATATGTTGTAAATATACATAACTGAATATGAAACATTGGTGTGAATAACTGTGTGGTGGGAGGAGCGATGGCGAGTAAGGTGTTGGAGGAGTGAGGGAGACTGGCTGGTGTGGCAGCTGACACTTGCGGAGTTCCGAGTGTGTTGATGGTGAATGTATATAGTATGTGATAGTGTATAGTGTGTAAATAGATTGTATATACAGTATACTTAAATTAGCATGTTGCACAGGAAATGCGTGCAATATATGTGTACATATGTGTCATGCACGTAACACAGTGTCATCGAACAGTACGGATGTTCTGTTTCCATAATATAGTGTACATGTTCATTATACGTAGAATTGGCACGGAAAAACAAATAAAATGTATTTGTAACTGTGCGCAAAAAATGAACACAAATATATTTGTGGCAACTTGCGCATCTTGAGTTGGGCGTGCTAGTAGCCCCAGGGACATACGCCACGGACAACCAGGGATTGATGACATCACGCGCGAACTTATGGACCCCATAGCAGCCAAAGTAAGTACAATTTCGACTTTGTTAACATATCCATTCTTAGGGAAGGGTTTTTGACACTTTAAAAACACAAAGAATTTTTTCCAAAGAATTTATTTCCTGCACACTGGGGGGGGGGGGTCATATTTGGAAGCCAAGCAGCAGAAATTTTTCCATTTCAAATAAAGAACAGTCCAGTGATAACATTGTTTTCTAATTTAATCCGTTCCCAGAGATGGGTTCTAAGCCAAAAATTCGCAACCTGAAACAAATTTTCCCATAAGAAATAAAGTAAATTGAATTAATCCATTCCACACTCCAAAAAATATTAACTTCTAAATACATTTCGTTCCTAATACACAAATATTTTGTACTATAGTATGTACAAGTTATAGCTTACCTTTATTGATGACTCTTGTTGGCATATAAAAGACAGTGAGGAGGTGGAGGGAGGGGGGAGAAGGAGAGGTGTTGGTGTTTGGAAGGGGAGTCCCCTTCCATTATATCATCAGGCAGTGATGACTTCTCTGGGGTACTCTCTCCTACATTTTGCCAGCATACCACTAGGACTTGGTTGTGGCTCATTGCTTGCTTGTCTTACTAAGAATCTGTCTAAAGACACTTGTTTTTCCATTCATTTTAACACTTGTCTGTAGTAAGACATGTCACATTGTCAATGCAACAGCCTGCTTTATCTGGGCAAGTTTTTTAAACAAAACTTTGCATTTCTTCCCATACTTTACACATTTTCTTAACGAGGAAGGGACATTCTCTATTGCCTCTACTCACAACTATTTTCTTAGGTTGAACCTTACCACTGACTTTCTTGGGACTCATGGCATGACATAATAATTACAAGTGCAATCATCACTAAGCGAGAGACACTGGTAAACCTGAAGCACGGTCACCCGTGCCACCAGGAACTACGAGCTCAGTCGACCCATACATATATCAACAAAGTCGCAAGGCGAGGCAAAAGTCGTAACCCGATTTGAATATTCCGACGAAATTGAGGTCGTAACCTGAAAAATTTGTAGAGGGACATTCGCTACCCGAGGTTCCACTGTATTTCCCAAGTCCTGGAGTATTATTAATTATATCCTCATAAGAAAGCAAGTCACTACAGCTTGTAGTTGCTTAGAATTCTCAGTTTGTCAGGGAGCTCTCTCTGTGGCCAGCAATGCTAAGAGCTGTTGGTAGCAATGCAATCTTCCTCAACTACAAACAACTATTCTAGACACAGAAAATACACAATACAGAATATAGTACAGTATATAATCCTGTAAAAACCACAATGTTTCAATACTGAGTATGCCCGATGAAAGTAACCAAGCTCACCTGTAGAAGGGGATCTACGATTTCTGCGCGGTGATCCTTGAGGAGAGGCAGTGGGAGTGCGGGGCCTGGAACTACTGGTTGACGAGGCAGTTGTAGGGGTATACGAAGTGGACATGATGCCACCTGAATGATGTCCCGAGGAATATCGTGATCTCCGGGAGGCTTCCAGGAACACTCCTGCAGAATTATGCATCCGTGTTTGGAGAGCCAGTACCTCCTCAAGATCAGACTCTCTGTATCAGGATAACATATAAAGATGTTTAAACTAAATGAATAATGGAATATATATAAAAATTTAATGAAAATTTAAGAAATAATGCTCGACAGTAATTCTGTAAAAGAGGTACAGTATGTACTTACTTTTAGTGTAATGTTCAGGTATGTTGCAGCCTTCTAGGAAATGTTACTAGTCCATAGTAGTATTGAGGAATAAGGCTTTCTATATATCAATGGCACAAGAGAAACGAACTAGTCTATGTTTAATATGTTTAAGGATTTAAAGAAATGGGTCTGTAATGTTGTCTGAAAAGAATTTGTCAAAACTCTGAAAGCTGTGTTTTGCTGGGTAAAGATGGGGTTTGAAGTAGCTGCAGTGGTTAAACTCCCTGCACAGATACCCTAAGTTAGTCTAGAATTTTTTTAAACATACCAACTGTTTGAGATTTTTTGCCTATGTGCTGTATGCATAAAGTATTTAAGTTTGCACTGCTCAACACCACAGATATGACTTTGAAATTCCACATCATAATAGTTTCATCAATGTGTTTAAAAACAGAACCATATATTTAATATGCTGAAGGCATTTTATCCTAATTATAAAATAAGGGTTTTCTACAATACCCGGCACTAGACATGAAGGCTCGGTACAGATCCATTGTAATGTGCTCATCCTTGGCCTGCTGCTGCTGAGTATTGCTCTCATCACTTGTCTGCCTCTGTAGATCACTTGAATCTAAACTTGTAGACATTTTGCTGCCATCTCCCTCTGCAATTTCTTCTTCTTCACAATACGTGCAGTCTGCATGAAGATATATCCTCCCGATGACTGCACGAGTGGTAATGTAGAAAGATGCACATATGACAATGCACAACAACACATCAACGGTCACAACGTGCCCGAGTCAAGAAGATAACGACGCCGTCAAGGCGGGCGAGGATAAAGGCCAAATAAATAAGAGGAAAGGAACGTAGGATGGGAATAAAGAAAACAGAAGGCAAACACAAAGCATCGCCACAGTAAAGAAAGCGCAAGAGACGAAGGGCGGGAGCAAAGGATGTGAAGGAGGCAAGTGCGAATGTATAGAAGGGAAGAGGAAATCAAGACGGGGACAGGCGAGGTTAGGACAGGGCAAGGTACATAGATGGCATCCTGAGCCTCACGACTGGGACGCTAATGCATTGGACTCCACAGAAGTGCCAGCAGGACAACGGAAGGAAGACCTAGGAAGGACGCGAGGACAAGTCGTGGGAGAACGCGATGTAAGAGGCTCATCAGGCAAGGTGGCAGGGCGCTTGGAAATCGGATGACGGAGGATTGCTTCTGCTTAGTAACGGGGGCAGAGATGTGTGGCAAGGCAGCCTTGGGAGAGACACAGGGAAGGCTCTCCAAAGAGTTCCGAAGGGCGTTGTCCAGCATCGATTCAAATGCATTGGAGATAGCAGAGGCAGCTGCGGGAGGATGGACGTCAACCGTAGAAGAAGCGGAGGAGAGGAGCGATGGGTCAGCCTCAGGAATGGGAAGGACAGACTGTGGAAAGATTTTAGTGACAAGGCGGACCAGCACTGTCCCAAGTGCATCTACGAAGTGAGCGACAATAGCGTTAACAAGGTTGGGACTCGGTTGAATGGCGGGTGGGAGAAAAAGCAGTCTCAAGGGCAAGAGGAACGTCAGTGACAAATAGGTCAGGCGACACAGGCAACGGCGGCTGCGGAGGGGGAAGAGGCGGGTGACAAGGAACCGGGGCAGGATGAGGCAAAGCACGACTGGAGGGCGGAGTGACGACGGGAAGAGCCTTAGTGAGCACCACAACGTAGGAAGGACACTGCTTGAAAGTGATGGCACGATCACCACCATAGTTGGGGCAACAGAGCTTGTCAGACTCAGTCACAAGTGAAATGGGAACCAGAGCATTTGCCACAACGAACGTCATTGGTGCAGCTATAGGAGGTATGGTGAAAACCCTTACAACGAAAGTACTGAGTGGGACAGGGAACGTACATCTCCAATTTATGGAGGAAGCCATTAATCCAAACCTGGTCAGGGAAGGAAGGGAGTCAGGAAAAGTAAGGAGGGCAGTGCCGGTATCACACAGGTCGCCATCAATTCTACGCATAAATGTCTTGACACCAAAGATCGCAATGTCAGCATCCTGCAGTTGCGCCTTAATGTTGTCCGCACTAACATCAACAACATGCCAGACCTCATATCGTACCAAACGGTAACCCAGAGGCATATAACAACGGACCTTGTAACCACAGATATCAGTAACGTCTGAAAGCATCAAGTCCCCGGAGGAAGTGTGGTCCACAGCAATCAAGTTCCTGCGTTTATTCTGCCTGAAATCATGCAATTTGATCTTAAAGAACTCGGGAACAGCTTGATAGAAAAGATGGCGTGCCCTATTTCCAAAAACATTCCAATCAGCGGGCGTATCGGCATCACAGGCGATGATGAACGTACGTAGGACAGGAGAACTCGTCCGACCAGGAGGGACTGGAGGGCGTGGAGACAGAGGTTGCAGGAGGGGGGGGGAGGGGGGGCACAGCATACCACAGGACACAGGCGATGTTTTGCTTCCAATCTATTAGCCTTACTATGACGTTTACTGTCCAGAAAAACCCCCTCGGGATCCCCCTCCAAGACCGGGAGAACGTCGTGACCGGAATACGTGCCAAGGGACAAAGGGACCTGAAAACCCTCAAAGGGATTGGAAATGTCCACAGAAGAAACGCTGCGCGAACCACCATCCGTCGCTATGGTCGGCCAGCAAGTCCCATTGTCTATTATGGTGGTAGGAAGACGGCCAAGGGAATAGTTCACCTTAGAGTGCGCAGTTTTATTACTTGTAATGCCAGACCCACGACCCTGCCAAGGGTTGTGGATCACAGAATGAATGACTTGGTAGAAAACTGAATAGGGAATCCCTTTGAGAAATAGGACTAGTGCGAATGGCCTCCTTAGCAGTGGCATCTGCAAATTCATTTAAGGTAACACTAATATGGCTGGGTACCCAGCAAAATTCAACTGTCTTAAATCTGCTAGATATAAGACGAAGCAAGTACTGATTTTTGATCAACATAAGATGCAAAGGATTAAATAACTCCTGAGCCACGAAGCACTGCGAGTCAACACTAATGACAAAAGAACACCGACATTAGAAAAGCAGGTGACAGAGCATGCAAATGTGCCTGAATTCTGCCAAGGCTGGGGACATATACAGATTTGGTCAGGAATGAAAATAAAGTAGCCAACACCATTGGCAGACTTAGACCCACCTGTGAACAGTGCAATGGAGTGTGAAAGAGAGGGAAAGTGTCAAAGGAAAAGTCATTTCATAACAATAGAAAGGAAATAGGTCTTCATCATGTGGGTCAAAGCCTAGCAAACATGAGCTGAGAGAGGAAATCCTGCAAATGAGTCACCCTTACAGGAAAAGAAAAGTGACAGAGGGAACAGGGCCCTCCCAAGCAGCAGCAGTCAAAGCTCATATTGAGGATGATGCAGGGACCATGCAAGGTAGTGAAGGCAATAACAATCATGATGATCCTATAGAAACAGGATGCTAGTTTTAATATAGAAGCTCTGGGTAGGGGATGAATGAAAGGCACCAAGAGCCGAGATATAACCTGGTACAGTGGTACCTTGGTGTACGACTGCCCTCAAGTAAAACTTTTTTTGGTATATGATGTCAAATTCATCGTAAAACTTAAATTGGTGAACAACGTTTTACTTTGAAAACAGTGTCTGTTGATACGCATATGGGTCGAACAAGCGCGTGGTGCTGGGGGCGTGGTGTGAGGAACACTCAGTTTGTTTACCAGTGTATCTCACGTAGTGACAACTGCACTCAAATTCTTTGTGAAGAATTTCATTGTTTTTGTGCTTGTTTTGTTTTTAACATAAAAGTTCTTATATATCATGCCATGGGTCCCAAGAAAGTCAATGGTAAAGTTAAACCTAAGAAAATAGTTGTGAGGATGACAATAGAGGAAAATCAAGAGATCATTCATAGTGAGACAATGTGATGTCTCACTACAGACAACTGTTAAACAGTTGGGAAAACAAGTGTCTATAGACAGATTCTTAGTAAGACAAGCAAGCAGTGAGCCATAACCTGGTCCTAGTGGTATGCCTGCAAAACGTAGGAAAGAGAGTACCCCAGAAATGTCATCACTGCTGTTATAATGGAAGGTGACTCCCCTTTCAAACACTAACAAGTCTCCTGCTCCCTTCCTCACCGTCTTTTGTACGCCACCAAGAGTCCTCATTAAAGGTAAGAGATACATACTGTATTTTAGTCCAAAATGACTGATATTCAGTATAAAATGTATTTTAAGTTAATATTTTTGGGGGTGTGGAACGGATTAATTCAATTTACATTATTTCTTGTGGGAAAATTCATTTTGGTGTACAAATTTTTGGTGTATGATGCATCTCTGGGAACGGATTAGGATCGTAAACAAAGATACAGTACCCCTGTATATGGTGCAGAGCATCAAGACAAAGAAGGGTCAAGGGAGAGACTGAAGAATAGGTGGGGTAGCCATAATCGAGTTTAGGCAGCATGAGAGAGAGGAGAGTTGACAAATTCAAAAGGTCCTTTGTCAATCTGGTCCTATTTCTTTAGTCATTTACATTAGGTTAAAAAATCTATCTTGGTCAACTTGTATATAAAACATTTCTCTCAATATTTGTGATAATGAATAATCATCTCATAACCTTGAAAATTGACGTGACAAAACATCAGAAAGAAAAAGACAAAGAAAGAGGTGTCCTGAAGTTTCTCAACCCATGTTTTATAGGTGGAGTGGATGGGGGTTAAGCATTACTGCTCATCCACCCAGTATGTCCTCTTGTGATGGTACAAGCCAGAGCATGGTGCAGCATACAGTGCCACACCACACAACTTGCACTTATCCCTGGTGTCCTTTTACCAGACTTGTAGCAGACACGACACTTCAGATTTTACTCAATACGAATTAGGGAATGGTTCAAGTTCCTGTTCAGACGTTCGGGTTTATCCACAAAATGAGGGTTTGTCCTAGCAGCGGCACCACAAGAAGTAATCTGAGACCAAGCCAGCTGAGTAATCTGTAGTACAAGCCAGAATGTACAGCTTTATTCCATACTTACATGTATCAGGTTTATTTGAATTATAAACCTTGAAAGCTAGATGACCCCTCCCTAACATTGTGCCACATGGGCCATCACAGAAAATGGGAAGACATTGGCACACATTTTAAAACATGTCCCATAATGATCGAAAAAAAAAAAAGGAATTTTAACAAACATTTTAATTTTGGACGCAAAATGCGCCCCTGTCGGACATCCATAGTTATTTATGGACGCAATATACATCACCGACGGCCGAAAGTGTTAACTGAGTAAGAATGTAACAGGAAACAGAGGGTCAGAGTCAAAGTAAATAATGAAATGGAGGCATAACAAACCAAATGGATTCCTTGAGGCTCAGACCTCGAATCTTTGCTGTTTCTGATCTTTATTGATAATCTATATACATTACAATTTACAAAAATACTGAGAGAAATTGACATGTATGCAAAGACAGTCTCTTTCAAATGAGGGATAATAGGACATAGGTGGAAGGTGGAGACGCAAATAAGTCAGATGTAAGAAAAATGCACTGAGAATGGTAAGCAAGTGGAATGCACTGACAGAAGTTGAGGATGCTTACCTATTATGGGACCTGCTGTGTCTCCATCAGACTTCAATCTTCGCACTCTTGGGGGCAAGGTGACTATTTCACCTCCAATATCAGTTGCTGAGTTGAGGGATGAAATTGAAACAGATGAAGGGGTTTTAGAAGGAGGTAGAAAATTTATTGATGTAGAGGAACCAGTAATTGACACAGATGGTGGGCTGCTAATGGAATTGGAGGAAGCTGAAAATGCAATTGAAGGAGGACTATTAATGGATGTAAAGGAGCCAGATAGAGACACTGAAGGTGGGCTATTGACTGAAGTAGTTGACCCAGACAGATAAAAAGGAGTGCTATTAACTGACACAGACGAACTAGAGAGAGAAACAAAATTTGAGCTGTTAACTAAAGTCAAAGAATGAGATTCTGTAACTGGAGGAGGACTGCTAACTGATGTAGAGGAATCTGACTTCTTTACAGGAGGGGGACTATTGCAAAGAGAACAGGATTCAGATTTAGGGACACAACCTGAATTGTTGATGGAAGTTGTCGAACCACATACAGATGCTGGTGCATTGTCAATGGATGAAGTTGAGGCACTCATAGATGCAGACATTGAAGATCCAGCAGGTGCTGAGTTGAGGGATAATGTGGAGGTATATGGTGGGGAAGTTACATGTGGAGTGGATGGCTCAGATGAAGTGGTAACAGTAGTGGGGCACTGAGAGGACAGAGAAGAACACGATGAGGAGGCTCCTTGATCCAAGTATATATGAGTTTCCTTAGTATAGGCTTGGATGAAGTCTCCAAGCTGCTTGGAAATCACAACAGCACGGGCTTCAGATGGCAGTGTTTTACTGGGGTTCTGTTAAGAAAAAACAAGGCTTTGGTTTAATATGAAAAACTGTCTGATCTCTTACATTTAGCTGCTTTAACATGTTAGATCCCGCTATGTCATTGAACATAAGATAGTGCAGTCATGCAAGTGCAACTTACAATATGGTACTACAGAAAATGTTCAAATCTTTCTGCAGGGCTATAATGTGCTGAGGAATTAACTGGATAAATTAATCAATCTTCCCTAGAAATGACCACATGAGGTCAATCCATAAAAAAATCGAAGTCCTTACATTCCTTTGCATAGCAATGCTATTAATCACCAAAGGAAAGCTCTTACTATTGGCTCAATTGCCTGGTCAACCCCACTATGGCCACCTTAAAGTCCACTGACCCAAGGCAACTTACATACTTCCTGACACTAAAGATGAACTAAGCACACAGGAAATGCGAACAAAAAAAAAAACAGATGGGAGAGAGATGGGAGCAGTTGAATGATAAGATTCACAGAGGAACTTTTCACTTGACTCAAAATAATGCCCATGCAGTGTAATACACACTTTCAAAGAGCATCACCAAAGAGCTAGTAACCATTGGCACAAACTATGGGTTTATTAGATTGAACTTTTGTCAAGCTGCCCAAGCAGAATATTGCATTTCTCTAAGAGTATTTCTGGAGATCATATCTGCCAAGCACTGATATGCTAAACACGGTATTCAGGACTTACAGCAGGTCACAAACTCAACCACCCCAGACTACAGTCCAAGGAAGAAGCCTTGGTTCCTGGGCAAGAATACTCAGCTATACTAACACGACCAGGCCCTTATCACAAAGGAAAAAAGAGTGGTCAAAAGTACTCAGTGCACAGCTTCAAACATCTATAACCCTGGGCTGCTAAGACTTAGAGGACCACGAATGAGGTTCCTCTGAGGGAGCCGAAGCACTGCTGTGCGGGTCGGTGAGCATGCAGCTCACCGACCCGCCCCCCAGAAGCCAAAGCCAAAAAACAGTTTTATGGAAGCAATTTCGAACCAAGGGAAGAAAAAAAAACCAGCGTTGAATGTAATGAAACGCCATTTTCTGGGTGAGCCCCGGAGGCTCCCTGGAGCTTATCGGGCTAATGTGTGTTATGTTAGACCGGGACATTAGCTAAGGAGTTCAGACCTACCAGGGACCAGCGCCAGAACCTGGCCCCTTCAGAGAGGTTTCAGGGAGCAATGGCCCTGGAAAACCCCATATGGTTGGGGGTTTTCCTTATCTGCCATCGACCGGGGTTAGGCACCCAGAAAGGTAGGCGTAACAAAACAAACCCCACATGGTAAGAAACTACAACAAAAACCGAACAGAGAGGTAGAAAACTCCCTACAATCCCAAGGAAACAAGCAAACAAGCAAACATCACACTTTACTGCCGCGCCGATCGTCCGCGCAGCCCTCCCCACCCCGGGAGGGGGAGGGGGGAGCCCCGGACCTACCGCGCCGGCTGCCAAGCTCCAGTTCGGAAGCTAAGCTTCAACCAACGCGAAAAAACCGCCGACCGGTGGGAGGGAGGGTTTCCAGGGAGCCTCCGGGGCTCACCCAGAAAATGGCGTTTCATTACATTCAACGCTGGTTTTCTGTGGGGAGCCCCTACGGCTCCCTGGAGCTTCATACCCAAAGAGAAGGAAAAGAAAGGGCTAACCCGGGAGGCGGCCGCCACAAACTCTGCAACGCAAAGCCAAGACAACCGGTCGCAAACCTGCGACCCAAGGCAACAAGAACGCCCAAGAACAGACGCACACATGGATGGGCGGCCAAAAACCTGTGCGACCCACAATTCCCTGCGCCCGAAATGAGCCCGAGACGTCACCAACACAGCAGCAATTGCTGCAAACGTCTGAACAGCACGGGCGCAAAGACAGACCGCAGTAAGAAGGAAAACACTGCGGACGACCCGGGAGAACACAGGACGCACCCCCCGGCCAAACCAAACAAGTACTAATACCCCAAGAACCCCTCCGGAAAGCAGCCGTCTCGACCGTCGCCAGGACAGAGAAAGGCTGCACACCAATAAAGCTACCACCAGTACCAAAGAGGAGGAAACTAAAACCGAAGGGGCTACCACAAACTGAGGGGAAGAGAAGAAGGCACCCTGAACAAGGACCAGGATGGCTCAGGCGACTCATGAGCAGGCCGGGGGGGAAACAAAACGCGAGAAGACGTAAGAAACGTCATACAGTCTCCAAGACGAAGCTCGCAGGTGGGACACCGTCAACAAAGCCACCTGAACACCATAGAGATGGCGATACCTGCGTCAAAATACCAGACGCGAAGAGCCAAAGAGAAGGCCGAACCAGTCACGGACAGGACCGATTCGGCCTGCTGAAAGAGGCGAAGCCTCAGGAAAAACGCCCCGGGTACGGACACCTATCAAACAGCGTCTGAAAAGAAGGCCGGGCCGGCCACAGTGGAACCATAAGGACTGTTCTCGTGGGAATGGGCTGCAACTGAGCCAGAACCCGAAGCAACAGCTGGACCGGGAGAAGAGGTACCGGTACCCCCCACCTCGACCAGGCCTGCCGAAAGCCTCCACCGTGAAGTCCTCGCAGGTGGGAAGGGCGCCACAAAACGGGCGACGCCTAGACCACGCCGACCCGAAGACGTCCATGGCCAGGAGTCCATAAGCCCAACAGAGCCAACAAAACGAATCGGCGACGACTGGCCAACCCACGAAGAGGAATGAACCGAGACAGCTGTCCACCAGGACGCAGGACACACCCCGGACACGAACCACACGGTTAACCAAACCCCCTGTGGTTCCGGCAAGAACCACCAGAGAACAGTCCAAACAGAGCTGAATGGGAGAGTACCTAGTGACCCAAACCCTCCGAAGCGCAAACCAGACAGCCATGAACACCTGAACCGGGCTGTGAGCCCGATGGACAGACAGACTCCATCAACCTCGGCCGACCTGGTGAGCACTGGTCACAAAGCCCCAGCCGAGAGACGACCCGTCCGTGAACACATCGAGCGAAGGCTCGGGGAGCCGCCAAGGCACGGAACCCCGAAAACCCCAAAGAGGAAGCTGGTGACGCAGCACCAACACCAGATCCCCAGAGGAACCCAAGGAATGCAAGAGGCGGAAGTGGAGTCTCCGTAGGAACCAACCGACGCCGGAGCCAAACCCGACTCCGCGGGCAGATAAGCACGCCGAAGTGCAAACTCCCGCACAACCGCCCAAGCAACCGCTGAGCAACCCGGGACCCCCTCCTGAACAGCCAAAGGCGGGACCACAGCCACAGCAACACTTCTGGAGGGAAGACAATGAGGGGCCCAAGAGCCTGAAACAAGGCCCAGGTCCGAACCCGGGACGGAAACAGAAGGTAAAACCTCCAGATCACCAGGAAACCAAACCCAGCGATCTGGAAAGAACCATCCCCTGGCGAGCAGACAAGCGGACTGACTGGGAGCCCACTCCAGCCAGTCGTCGAGGTAGGCCAGACACCGAATCTCAGACGCAGACAGGGCACTAAGATCCGGTAAAGATGCAAAGAGTATACAAAGTGCCCTTCACAAAATAGGGAATGCAATAAAAACAGCAAACCTGAAGCCCCACCACCAAAGCATTGTATGACAACCATATGAAGACATTATGACATATGACAATCATTATATGACAATATGACAAGTATAATCAAGGCATTATATGACAAAGAGTGCCGGGAAGAGGGGACACCACGAGAGTAGCTCACATCCTGTAACTACACTGAGGTAAGTACACATAGGGAATTACCAACCGTGCTAGCCCCAGAAAAACTGGAGAGGAACGTGCCAAGAAGTGACCTGGAGGTCCAGGTCCACCATCCATGCACTCGGCCCTAACAGAATCCGAACAGGAGACAACAGTCCTCCGAGCAGGGCAGAGGATCCAGGGCGCAGACGGAAGTAGTTCAGAAGAACTGCAGACTGGAAAAACTCATGACTGCAAAGAGCAGACGGGAAAAGCTCATGACTGCAAAGAGCAGACGGGAAGCCCAGAAGGATGGGGCGGATCGACCACGCCCCACGCACCCACGAAGAGGAAATGACGAAGCGCAGGGAAGAAGCCCACCCCGCCAGCTCTGAACCCCCCCCCAAGGGGGAGAAGCCGTCCTCCGACGCCAGCAGAGGCCGGAAGACAACCCAAAGCGCCCACCAACAGCGGGACCAAGCGAGAGGCAACAGAGCAAGCTGCTCCCCCAGCGCCCAGTCAACAGAGAAGGGAACAGAACCCCTTCAGAAAGAAAAAGTACACTACCGAAGTCATGAGGAGAGACTACGGGAATGAAACCACACTTCGCTGGAAGAGGAAGTGAGGGGAGACCTGATCACCACATACAAGATACCCAAGGGAATCGACAGGGTTGAGAAGGACAGGCTATGTAACACAAGGGGCACACGCACTAGGGGACACAGGTGGAAACTGAGTACCCAAAAGAGCCACAGATAGAATTAGTTTTTTTTTTTTTTTTTTTTTTTTTTTTGGCGAGTGTCAGAATGGGAACGGGAAAGCACTAAGAAGTAATGTGGCGACTCCTCACACAAGGAACGAGGCTGACCCCCATACAATGTCACATGTAGACATGACAGAGCCCAAGAGGCACAGGAACCGATACACCTGTTGACGGACGGTTGAGAGGCAGGACCAAGGAGCCAGAGCTCAACCCCCACAAGCACAACTAGGTGAGGACAAATAGTGTAAAAGCACAAGCCGCCGACTAGTGGCAAAGAGCACTACGCCGGCCAGGCAAAGAAGGCACAAAACTGCAACAAAAGGCCCACCTCGACAGCAAAACCACAAAGTCCCAGCACAACCACAACATGTGCCAAGACCCAAAAAGCTCAGTCTGCAAGCCAGGAAGACCCCGGAACCCCAAAAGGCAGAACCGGGTCACATGAGGAAACAAAGTCCCCTGAACCCACAAAAGGGGGCCCAAGAGGAAGAAACCTCCAGAACGAAACCAAGGAACCCAAAGGAACCCAGAATCGAACCAGGGGGAGCCCAAACCA